TTCTTGACTTGGCCATGATACTGAGATATTTGGTTTCATGTTATTGTAGATAAATCTCAGAAGTCAGTTTTTGATGAAATTCATGTTTAAACTATTGGACTTTGAGTATAGCAGAGTATTCTTAAGAACACCAGGACTCCTCATCAAATCAGCGATGTTAAGAGCAAAAGACTTCTTTCTTTAGAAGAAGAAACTCTTCAAGAAAACCTTGTTTGGATTTGAAACGTATTTCTTTCCTACCTTGTCATCTCTCTAGTCTACTCTGCCAATCTAGGCCATGTAGGTTTTTTATAAGCCAGTTCCTTCAATTGAGAAAGACATTTGAAGTTCCTTTTTCACTGCGTTAGTAGTGATGATAGACTGGTTTCATTCACTCATATAAATTACATGTAATCCAGAATATTTTTAATAAAAATTAAATTTAGTACTGCTATTTTAAGTTTCAGAAATCATAAAATTTCAAAGATTTTAACAAACCAAAATTTACTAGACTTACAGTTTTAAGAATAGCAGAGTATCTTTGCTATTTTGTTCATAAAATTATCTGCAGAAAAAAGAAAAGAAGAACAAAGAACCCTATATTTAAATATCCCTCATCTAAAGAGAAGTAAATGGGGAAAGTGAAAAAGTAAAAATGTTCAATATAGAAAAAGAGAATTGATAGACACAAAGGTAGAAAACAAGATAGAATGTAGCAAAAATGAAAGCAAGGGAAAAGAATATTTTTCAATACATAAGCAGATAATTTGAAATTATTAAAAAGTAAAATGCTAAAAAATACTGTCTTACAATGACTTTCATTTTACCCTAGCATGGTTAATGGCCATGGTTTCTTGTTAAGCCTGTATGTTTAGTGACCTAATCCTCTTTGGTTTTAAACTTCTTTCTTATAATTTAAACTTCTTTCTTACAGAAATTTCATGGTTATGATAAAAAATGTTGTGTGCATTTTCCATGTATCACTAGACCCTCTGGATATTAGTTGACATTCCACATAAAGAAGAAGTTATTTGTCTTTTTAAAAGCTTAGTGATAAACTTATAGAAATTTATATTTCTGTCTCTCACTCATGTTAATCTATAAGCACAAAATTGCTCAAAAACAATTTATTTAAGGAAAAAATAAATGGACAAAATTAAACATATGCATAGAGACAGTTTCGTATTTTGTGCAAAGCGATGTGGCATTTTACTATTACATAACTTTTTCATGCCATGCTAAAATACTATTTTGATTTAGTTTCATCTAATACATAAATTTCAGAATAGTAGGCACTTAACCTATGTACACTGTAATAGTTTTATATAACATCAAAATTTTATTTTGTTTCATTGGTTTTTCAGTAATCTATACAGAATGAGGTTTCTGTACAAATCAGTAACTGGAAGAGAAAGCAGGTTTTGTTTGAGAGGGGTTTCTGTTGACACACATGCACTTTCCAAAGCACTCATGTTGTAAACACCATTGTATTCTAGTTGATCTTTGTTCTTACTGACATTAGAGAAAAATCCATTTCCTTCAGTGCAAAGGACAAAATAAGAGGGATAAGCTATGTTTACATGGTATAAAAGCAAAACAAAACAAACAAACTTGCTCTTCTTATTTTTGCATCAATTTCACATTCTAAGAATGAACATGCTGTACATTATACATGGAACGTATTTATCTTGTACTATTTCTTAAGAATAAAGGAAACTACTAATGCTAATAGCTTCTTCTGTGACCCTGGGCAAATCATTTAGCCTCCTGGTGACTCAGCTTCTCCATCTGAAAAACTAAATGGTAATTACCTCATTTATTCTGCACTCAGAAGATTGCCATTTGAATAAGCCTTGTGCAGCATCAAGGACGTTTCTTCAAGGGTTCCTTCTTTTCATAACCTGATGTCTGTTTTTCACAATTTAAATAATGATTGATATGGTCACTATAACGTAATGGAGGAAAAAGTGTACGGTAGCAATTTATGCTGTACAACAGCAGATGAGTAGGATGTAATGATATACGCTTTATTTATTTTCTTTTGTGTACAAGCCTGTAGATAAAGAATCAAAGAACAAAGTAAATCCATGTTTAAACAAATATCATCTGTTAGTTATTTCTATACTTTAATTCAACTTCTATACTATTTGCAAACTCTCTGAAGCAAGAATCACAGCCGCCAGTGAAGACCACACCACTACTTGTGTGAACCCACTTTAATGGAATCTTTTCTCAGTAATTACCCTGCAGATTGAGTACTTACTTCACTTCTGAAAAATGCCAAAGATATTCCACTGTTCTACTTCATATATCAGATCTTACTAACCATGCTACAGTTCAAATTGCCAAATCTTCCTTGGTCTGCATTATATCTTCCAAATAACTTCGAGTTCCTCTAGTTTCCTGACACTACTTCTACCATTCAGTAAACACTCTGACCACTACACAAAGAAGATTTCAGCTACAGTGGACGTGTTTAAAGTCAATTTAGCCACCACCTCACTATGCGAAAAACTAATGCTCTGCTAAGCACATTTATTTTTCTCACATTTGATATTGGCCTAAAATACACTTTAAAATCACAGTGTAAAAATCTTAATGAATTTTATGACTCTGTAACTACAACTGTACTTCACTTAACATGATTTATGGCTAACCCTCAGAATGTGTACAAACTGTAAATAAATCTATTGTTGTGATATAATGCATAACTATAATGTTTGGTAGCAGGCTATTATTTACTTGTACATCCAGGTGACATTGTAAAGTGTTTGAGGTAATTTCAAAGCAGAAAGAGAAAGATAGAGGTGTTTCAAGATTAGCACTGAAACCTGGCCCTCAGTCGATGTGGGCACTGCCTCTGGGCCCTGAGCCTGCTGCCAATCTGGTGTCTCACCACCTCACTCAATGTACACTGCCAGGCTGCCTGCTGATCCCAAGGAGTGATTTTGCAAACAGGAAAAAATGACAATTTGGATGTGAAAATGAACACAGGAGAGCAAAGATCTGGAATTTTGCTGATCAGAATGAAATCAATTTTTCAAATCTGTTATTGGCAGTGGTCTGTGGCTAAGTCCTTGGGGAAGCTAAATATTTACTTCTGGGAGATGCTGCCCATGTAGCACTAAACAACAGCATGGTACCAATGGATTTTCAGTATTTTGATGGTGATAATGAAGCACAGACGTGTGTATCTGTCTTGCTGTTAGAGGCCAATATGAAGTACTACCACCAAGTACCTCCTGACCAATCATTTCCAGGGAATACTCATGATTTAGTGCTTCTATATCAGGAAGATTGATATCTATTCGTGCTTACTGAAGCTGGTGCCCAATGGTGCCCACTATTCCATGCCTCCAACACAAGCAAACAACAGTACTGTAGCCTCCTGCTTAGTTAAGAGAACTTTTTGAAAAGTAGAGTGGCCTGTTTTTCACACTGACATGAAAATGACTTCCCAAACGATTCCAGTTTGGCCTTTACCAGTCAAGCACCATGCTCATTTCCTGTGGACAAGCCTGACATGTTGGTGGATGGCATCTTCTCCACATTTTCTTGAGAAGCAAAAAAGTCCAGGACATTCCACTGGAGGTAAGACCAGCAAAAGGACAGAGCTCACTCAAAGTCAGTGAATTGAGTTTAGCTGTGCACCCAGGAATCCAGAAGCCTCCATGACTATGAGGATGAAGCTGCTTGATGAAGACTAAGTTACTACTTAAACAAGACCAGTAGGCCTGGCCCAGATATGTGGATGCAAACTGGAGAAGTTGGGGGAAACTCACTTGTGAGTTCAGTTTGCAGGTGATGGTGCTGCCCTCACTGTAAGTCTTTGTCCAAGCAGTCATTACTGGCTTCAAGGAACATGCTGGGAAAGAAAAAAAAATTGTCTGCTCCTGGGACAGAGAAGAACAGTGTTTACCATAGGAAAGAATAAATACTGCTTTAACTTTGGTATTTCAAGAATCATTTTTTTTTGAAAAGGAAGAGTACGAGTTAATTTAGAAACTTGGGAACTGTGGCAGCTGTGGGCTAGTACAGCACTACATGTAAGGGTTTGCCAAGGATGTCACCAAGTGTGTATCACTTCCTTTCTCTCAAGAGCTGGCTGTCCTGGAATGTCCTTGTAGACCTCCTATAGACTTAGAAAGCCTAGAAGCTGCAGAGGCAGCAGACAAGCTCCTGATCAAATTCCTATTTTTGAATCTTGTGGGAGACAACTCCAGTGACTCTGTTTGAATTCAAAACAATTAGTGTGACTTTGGTTACTTGAAGACTCATTTTCTTATACTGATATGTAAAAGGTTGGCTAGGGTATTTCCTTCTCTCTTCAATTGGCTCTGAGCATTGCAAATAAGGCTAGCTGAGGTGCTAATGTACAAAGTCTTTAGCCATCAGACAGTCCTGTTTCCTTGCATAGTGTTCTCCACAATATATGATTGAGCACACTAGATGTTCAAGCAAAAAGCTCTGTGAATGCCAACAGGTTATGAGCCTCAAGATTACAGGCTATGACTCCCCAGGGTACAAGAGTTTGCATATCAGAAACTGAAGCTACAGCCCCCTAAAACAATTCCACTGCTACCTTAATTGGGCTATTAAATCAATCCTTCTGCATATATTTATCTCTGAAAATTACAGAGGTGCCATTCTTGCACCTGGCCAGCCAGCTCAGGTTACTCAATAATCCCTGACATCCTTGCTATCACTCATCCTTGAGCCATCCTCCTTTTCTTCACAAGATAATAAATGCTGGGAGAGGCCTACGATCGAGGCCTTTGTCTGCATGTCCTCATGAGGATTGGACTTAGGACCTCTTGGCTGCCCTTACCTTGGAACATGTCTTGGAGTCTTTACTCTCACAGTGGGTGGGATTGGTGGTAGTAGATTGGAATTAACTTACTAGGATTCCAATAATGTCTCAATGGGATTACAAATATAACTTTTTGGATTGTAAGGAAAACTAGAAAGAGGATTACAATACTTGGATGATTGAACTCAATATTTGGGTTTACAATTTTTGGTGCCCAATGTGGGGCATGAACCCACAACCCTGAGATTAAGAGTCTCATGCTCTATCAACTGAGCTAGCTGGGCCCCTATATTTTCAAGCATCTACAAGAATTAGCTAAAGTAAATACTACCTCTCATTTTGTATATCCTCCTTTGTGTGCAACTCAACTACAGCAAGACTCTAACCCATGTATTTCTGCTATAAATCAGGTTTAGAAAATACAACTGTCAAAAGAACGATTTGCCTTACTGACCTTGACTTGTATACCTTCAGGTGGTAACCTTGTTAGAGAATTCAAATCTAACATTCCTATCTTTTTTCTAGTAGCTTATGCTCCTCATTTCTAGGAAGGTGATTTGGGCCCTTGGCAATATTGCAGAGATCCATATCATGGGCAGATTATATGCAAATTCAATTATTCCTTTATAGACTGGTGTCTCAGAGGTTTACTTATGGGAAAAGGTCAAGATTGGCATGATATTTCCTTTTCAGGCATTCTGACTGTGGTGAGTACCAGGACAAGGGTTCTTTCAAGGCTGGACTGCAAAGTGTCTCAAGCTATCTGTGCCATCAACCCCAAAACAGACCCTATCCAAAAGTCAAACCCAAGGCACATACTGGCAGAATGGCTTTTCTGAGTGAGGTTGCTTCAAGAATTCCCACTTCAAGGAGATGGCCAGTTTTCATGAAGCTAAACAGGTCTGACAACAGGTCCATAGAGAGCAGACAATCATGTCTATGCTCCTCATCTATAGTTTGGAGACACAGACCTGGGACCAGGAAGAGTGCAGCTTTAGGACTCAAAGTCGCTCCTAAAAACCTGAGACATTGCCAAGGGGCAAATAGAACCAGTGATCCATTGAGTCCTGTTCCAAATCCCACATCATGGGGCAGTTCACCAGGAAAATGTTCCTGGGAGATCATCAGGCAGGGTTAGTGGCCAGAGATGAGGAAGCAGAATCTCACAGAACTCACAGTGCAATATACCCCAGGCACTACAGTGTCTCAAGGAAGCAGTGTTCCCCAACCTGTTCCAAAGGTAGCTACCAGAGTAGGTCCACTGAGCCTTTCTAGATGTAGAAAAGAAAAGTGTGAGAAGTTCCTGCGCTATCCTGAGGTTGCATTGTAAGACATATTATTTTATCTCACTGAGGCTGAGCAGAGGATGCTGGTTGGATCTCTCAGGATATGCCAGATTAAATGAAGATGAAACCACAAGTACATGGAGTGTGGAGAAGATGGTAATCTAGACCAAGAGTCTGCCAAGAATCTGAGGCTGGGTATATTATTGTTCTGTGTACTGTTTTGTGTAATTGTACAAATTGTTATAGAAAAGAAAATGGGGATGAAGTAGATCATGCGGAGGGGGATTTGTGTGTGTGTGTGTGTGTGTGTGTGTGTGTGTGTGTGTGCATATGTTTCTTCACAAAGAAGTTATTTATTAGAATTTTCCTTTGGTTATCCTATCTCCACTGCTTTGTTACTAATAAGAATAAAAAATTTAAATATAAGCAAAAATTAGCATTACCTAAATCAACTATAGAAACTTCCTTGCTTGGCTAATAAAATACCATCATGAGGAATATTACCATAGTACATGTAGGTCTATTATTGAGGAAGACAGTGGAACAAGGTCAAGTAAACAAAAAGAAGCTGTGGGGCAAGAGCTGAGAAGCCAGGCAAAGCAAGGACAGCAATGTTAAAATAACACAAAACCAATAGGCAAAGGACTCCCTGACTCCCCAAGGTCCCCTGGTACGCACAAAACAAAAAGTATCACACATTGCACTTTGAATGTTAATCCTTCTGAAAGCTGACAGACATCAGATAAGTCAAGTAGCACTACAAATTTAAAAATCATACTTCACTGTGTTAGAATAATGACTATAATGAGCATAATGATTATTCCCATAATACTAGGTAAAGTCAGTACTCATGTCTCCAATCCTTAAACATCAGAGGAATGGAAAGAATACATTTTAAAGTTTTTGGTTTTTAAAGAAAAATAATGCATTATCACATATTTAACTTCAAAGCATTTGTATTACCTATGCATTCTACTGTGACACTGGTTGTTAATATGCTGCCAATGCATTTTATTGTGACACTAATTATTAGAGTTCTCTGGTTTGTATTCTGAAATTAAAATTGTGTAACCCATGTCTTAGAAATTCAGTTGTATTTCTCTATGGTCATAAAATCTTTCTTTCACACACAGAGTGGCTCCTGCATGTCTTCTAAGTGACTTAACAGTAAGTGAAGTGGGTGTCAAATGCATTACTTGTTCTGAACACCAGTGACATTGTCTTTTGGGTTCCTGAGATGAGAAGGAAAATAGTCTAAGAGGAACAGGATACAAGTTTAAAGAAGCAGGTAGCATGCAAACGATTTTGATTTTAAAATAGCCTGGTAGTTCCAAATTTGGCACTTTGAAACAAGTGCCATCATCTTGCTATGAAATATGGAATTGGAGTCAGCCATCCATTTGTAGACTCCAATAAATAAACTTAAAGAGAAATGCAATTTGAAGTCTGGTGGGAAGATTACAGATCTCAATTTCTTTTAACCGTATTTCACAACAGAAATCTTCTTCTGGTGATTAACTAAATGTTAACTATATTATCATGGAAGAGATGTTCGTTAAAATTTGATGCCTTAAATAGTGTTGTCACATAAAAAGTATGAACACAGATACAGATATCAAACTAAATTTTAGTTAAAATTCACTCAGATTTGTCTGCAAATGAAATTTAACATACCATGTTATAATCGTAAAATAAAATATTTATACAGTCTGATGTTTTCCCATGATATAAAGGTTATTTGTAAAACTGGATAATGATTTCATCTAGATTTGGTTTTACTTTGTTGATTTTCAACACTATTCAATAACATATTGAGGAAATTTATGTGTTGCTTCCCATCCTTCAAAATGCTACTAAATCTGTAAGTTCTTCAGAGAAATTCTTTGGGTTTCTTCAGATTATAAAAATTTTGCACTTATGAATTCACTAAAATTTCTGGCATTTGTCATTGAATTATCATAGGTTATTTACATTTTCTATTAGACTATGTCCTCTCTAGAAGAGGAAAATATATAATAAAGTATAAAAGACTAAATTGACAAATAAATGTGGTAATCACTCTTAGTTACTCCTTAATAGTAAATGTTCTCCTTCCCTTAGTCACAGAAGTCCAAATTTTAACTTAGACTTGCTCTTGCCCAGAGTTTTAAAAGAATATATTTTCAAATATCTTTTATATCCTAGCATGATTTTGTTTCATGCCTTGACAAAGAAATACTAGAAAAACTACTTAATGAAAATTTAATCTTCTATTTTCTACCTAGAAATCTACGGTGATGGTGGTAGCTCTTTGAGCCACAAGGTTCAAACAAGACCAAGAAGTTCAGAAGTAATAGTCATAAAGATACCAGAAAAATTTTATAATAGCTGAGATGTATAATTCCAAGTTTAGTTTTCAAGATAAATATCTTTTTTTTTTTGTCTTTTTTCTTTTTACCGGTACCAGGGATTGAACTCATGACTGCCTGATTACAAGGCAGGCGCTTATGCCACTGAGCTAAATCCCCAGTCCCCTAATATCTTGTTTTAACCACACTGATTGTGTATGTGTGTTTCCTTACATGTAATCAAAACAAATCCCCAAACTAACGGAAAAACTGAACATAGGAGAACTAATTAGGCATTTGAGTCTAAAAAATTGCATAAGGAGTGTTTTACATATATAATTCTAATTCTTAAATTTTTAAAGCATATTTTTATTCTACCTTGATACGCTAAACTAAAAGTATTATTATTATTATTATTTTGAGACAGGTCTTACTATGTAGCTCAGGCTGTCCTTGAATTCATTCTGTAGTTCAGGCTGAAATCAAACTTGTAGTGATCCTCCTGTCTCAGCCTCTAAAGTTCTGGATGACAGGTGTGCATCACCATGTCAGGCTTGCTAAGGATACTCTTTAGAAGAATGCAGTCTTACTACATAATGAATCATGCAGATGTATTCTAAAAAAATTCTGTTAACTGTCACTTATAATTTAAATGTACTATATCATTTTAGTGTGAATTAATAAAGATATATGCAGAATTTTCCCTGTTATATAAACCTGTGGATAGTCAATAGTTTACATATATGTATCAGTAACATGGTAATGTACATAGGCATTATCTTGATTTACTTCTCAGGGACAGGACTCATTGTTAAAATGTTTTCTTTTTATTTATAGATAATGTTGAAGGAAAAAAAAACATTTTTATCAGGTGACACTAGCCAATTTTATTGAACTCTAAAATTGAAAAGAGAAAATACTTATAGTCTACCTATACATATTATATCCATATCTGAATCCATAAATAGAAATAGATACATTTTCTTCAGGATGTAAACTTGAGATGAATTTGTCCTGCTACAAAGAATTACCAAAATGAGGATATCATTTTTAAAACATAAATTTCCAAGCTGATATAAACAATAGTATGAGATGATGAACGTTGAGTACAGAGAACCTTAAGTAAGACTTGTAATCACTCACAGATTAAATCTCGGAGACACTGTGAAACTACGGAATTAGCTGTGAAGATGTTGAGTGTGCCTATTATAAAATAGCTCAGAAAATTAAAGGAAAAGTTATACACAGAGAGAAGGTGTATGCAGCATAACACATTAGGCACATAGGGTATTCTAGGCTGAAAACATAAATTTCAAGTGAAAAATCTCTGAATGTATATAAAGAAAATGAATATTCACTGAGACATACATCAGTAAAATTTTAAAAATATACAAGGGATATAAATCCTTTAAATAAAATTTAGAAATTCATCCATTATATATAAAATATTTAAGTCTTACTTTCAGAGATGGTAATCATGTGGGAGAAATCATAGATCTTACATTTTTAAAAAAGGACAGTTGTGGATAATTTGATGTAATTATAGAAAAAGTCTATATCTTACAAAATCCAAAAATTCAATTTAGAATGAGCCATAAATTTAAACTTAAAAATCTAAATATTTATAATTTTCATAAAACAAAGCATCAGAAAAAAGTGTGACTTTGGAATTGGCAAAGATCTAAGTTAGCATCCTAGGTAGAACTGAGTTCTTCTTAAATATAGCCAAGAAGTACAAATTGCAAGAAAATTAACAAACTATATACAATTTCAAAAAATGAAAAATGAGTTTAAAGACTATGAGAAATGTCTCTACACATATATAAATGATAGATGAATGGTTAATAAGCATATAAAGCATTATCAACCTCATTAAGTACTAGAGAAATCATAACGAAAATAAAGAGATACCATTACAGATCAACAGTTATGGGTGAAATAAAATAAGCTGATAAAATCAGCATGAGTATTGAAGAGAACAAGTTATACACTGCTTATGGAAATGTCAATTTATCTGCCACGTTTTAGAAAACAGTATTTTTGTTTAAAATTCGGTATATAATTATATGACAGTCATTTTCTACTTATCATGTAAGAAAAATGAAATGTACATCCCAGGATGTTTATAAGGGCTTATTTCTCATATTAACCTTGAATTCAAAACAACTCAGTGTTCTTAGTGTGAATTAACCAATAAAACTGTGACAAATAAATGAAGTGGTGTATTTCTCAGTGACAAACTACTGATGCTACCAAAGTATGAACATATCTGTAACATTGTTGGAGAAAAATAGGTCAAAGAGAAAATCATACGAACAGAATAATTTGACTTAATTTATATTAAATCGTAGAGAAAAAATGAACTAAATGACAAGAAAATCAAGTCTGAGATGGCCTCAAGTCAGGGCACCAAGATAACAGATGACAAAATGTACCTAGAGGCAAGAATAATACTTTCGATGAAAGAATCATTCCATATTTATTTTTAGATTAGGTAGTACATACTTTGTTGAAAAAAACTTATTATACTTTATGAATGAGTACATTTCATTGTATGCAAATTATATTAACATTAAATCGACTAAAATTAGTAGTATTTTGATTAAATTATGTTATAGTTAACTTACGCATATTGTGTGTTTGGAATAATACTATACTATTGATTTAAATAGTGTTCAAAACTTGTATCATGATGTATCTTAAAAGCACAGCTTTAAATAAATATTTTCATTACCATTTTGCAGTTAATTAACATTTGTTAACTTAGGTTTTTCTTTTCTTGCCTAAATCCATGCAGCTGCTTAATAATCAAATAATGCAGCAACTTACAAGTTTTTAATACAAAATACCACCGGAGGGTGGGAAAAATGAGAAACAGCGAAGTACAACCCTCCATACTTAAAATGATTCCCTTGCCATTGTCTATAAAAACAAAGTTGTTATTTCACATACTAGGTTGAAACCTTGAGGTAAAGAAATGAAATCAATAAGCAGGCAGAGTTTCAAAATCTGTTGCTTAACCACCAAAGAAAAAGCATCTGGAATAAATGATCAAGGCTTGAGTGAGTTTTTCAATTAAATAAGTAGGAAAAAAAGTCAAAAAACCTACCATACTCTTCCTACCCCACTCACTTCATAATGATAAGGCTGATTGACCTATTGGTATACTTTGATTTGTCTAAATTTTCAAGTTTAATTGATTTCCTGTGAATAGACTGCAATTAAGACTGAAACATATTAGAATGCTATGTTATTGTACTGTGATTTTGAAAGAATAAGTAGATGGTAAAAATTGCTCTAAACCTAAATAAGTTTTGTTAGTGGTGTGTGTGTGTGTGTGTGTGTGTGTGTGTGTGTGTGTATGTGTGTTTTCTAACCTTAATTGTTGATACAGAAGAGAGTCCTTAATGAATTTTTGTTGTAGCATATACAAAAATTTTGCAGAATAATTTTAAGTTTGCACAGCAAATCCAAGAAGAGTTCAGAGATTCCTTACCCATTTCTTATTCTCATATGAGTACAGCGTCCTGTATTATACGCATGGACCACCAAAGTGGAATATTTGTTTTAACTGGTGAACGCTGACTGACGCATCATGTTCTTCAATAGCTTATATAAGATTAGTGGAATATATTATGATTCAGTCTTGATGCTGAACATAGTATATGCTTGAATATAACATTGATACCTCACATGGTATAATACATAATTTCACTACCATTAGCAGCTAGAGAGATATTTTTATTCTACATGGCAAGTCCTAAAACTTATTAGATAATATTGTAATTATCATTTTAAGAACATTATGAGAGAACTGTCAAATAAATTGTGAGCATATATGGGTACGTTTTATGTTTACATTCTTTTAAATGTAGGAAGAAATGTGTGGCATATAGGTCACACTGCATGTAATAACCAAAAAAAACCACAAAATGCAAAACTAACTTGAAGAAAATAAATGATTGATAGTGCAATCAATGTGCAAATTGCTAAAAAGAAACTGGAAAGCAGAAGGGCATCAAAACAATGGAATGTATTAAAAGTGGGAGCAGGGTTTAACAAGTGTCAGAATAGCGCATATTCAACAGGAGAGAGAAGGAATTAGAATCCACAATGCAGGTGAGGCCAATAAAGTGATCCTGGTGCATATATTTGTAATATGCATCCTGGTTGTGAAATCCATATCACTGGAAAGGTTCATTTAAATATATTTTAGCTTACATAATGAAACTAATGAAACTCTTGAAGTGAAATATTTGAATATTGAAAACAATTGAATTTATCTACCATGTAGTTAACATTTGATATCCATATTTTTTCTTTACTTGGCAATGTATTAGCTCAAGAAATCAACCACATCTCCAAACATTAGGTTCAAAATTTTGATTTTAAATTTTGATTACAGTGTTAGACAGAAATAGATTTTACTTTGGCCACAATGTAACCAAGCCAGTAGCTTCCTAGTAAGTGTATATCTATTTAAAAGGAATTTTCAAGTATCACATTCAGTGGAACTAAAAAATCCTCTGAAGAGAAACAGAAACATATTAAATTGCTTTCTTCAGCATCTTAGCATATAATTTGCATAACAGTGACATCTGAAGTGAGTCAGCACATGTTTGGTAATCATGGAGTAAATTACACATCAAGTACACATATGTGTAACAGTAAAAATCAATGCAATATCAAGCCAACGGGTTCTGTATAGATACTGTTTCTTTCTGTCTCTCTACATAAGCTGTTTCCATCATGGTTTGTTAATAGGAAGTATAAATGCCTGCATTTAAAAGCCCTAAGTAATCTGCCCTTGATTTATTTGCTCTTCTGCCATCTAGTTCATTGTAAGGATTCTGGTGGTAATTACACCTTCATGGCATCATTCGGTAAAATAAATAAATAAATACTTTTCAGTGTGTGTGTGCGTGCGTGTGTGTGTGTGTGTGTGTGTGTGTGTGTGTGTGAGAGAGAGAGAGAGAGAGAGAGAGAGAGAGAGAGACTCAAATTGATTCCTCTTTATACAGTCTCACCCACTTTAGTATAATCTGTACTCATCTCAGAAAAGGTTCAAGTAGCTCTTTAGTGAGTGTGAATATAACTCTGGTATCAAAAAGATTTGCACTGCACTGAAAGGACAGCAGCTCTATATTTGACATGCTCTTACACAGCTTTAATTGGATAAAAATAGAAAAGTCACAATAGTCACATGAGTATGCTGGCGACAGTGTACAATTTCAGTTCTTTATATTTCAAACACACTTTGAGAAGAGTGTCTTTCGGGCCAGGGATACAACTCAGTGGCACAGCACCTGCCTGGTAAGCACAAAGTCCTGTGTTTGATTCCTGATATGGGATGGAGGGTGGGAAGGAGAGAGATAGAGGTAGAGATAGATAGATAGATAGATAGATAGATAGATAGATAGATATAGAGAGTCAGAGACACAGACAGACAGACAGAAACAGACACAGATAAACAGAGACAGAGAAACAGAAACAGAGAGAAACAGACAGAGAGAAACAGAGAGGGAGAGACAGAGACAGAGACAGAAGTGAGAAAACACGTCTCTGTGGAAGTCACTGTGTGCCATATTCAAGAACATTTTTAAAGGAAGTGATTATTTTTAAAAAGATGCAAACAATTTGTGTGTCTTCTGGAACACTGTGCTCTTCGTTCCACATCAGGTATCATAACAAGTTATACATACGTAGGTAATTGAAAATGTAGGATTTGTTATGTAATTTATTTTCTGTGGAGTTATGTAATAGAGCTAGCTCATCTTGATAATCCGAGTTAGGGAAAAGTAGCGATTGTGAGGTTAAAATATCTGGGTTATTAAATCGCTGAATAGCAATGTAGATTCTGAACTCTGTATCAACCATGAAATGGTTATAAATTGTGATGCAAATAGTTTTGAAGAAATTCCTCGTCCCCTCCCTTCAGTAAGCAACTAAGTACTTTCATATTTGCTTTTTAAATAAAATCAACTTTTGGTAAAGTTTGGGCACACAGGTTTAATCATCTGTCATGAAACCTGTCCACTGCCCCTTGCTGAAACAAGCATCTGTCTTTGAAAGTACCTGCTCATTTTCCTTTCTATGTTGATAGATTATGTCGAATATTCATGATCCATATGCTAGAGAGCTATAGATGTTACTTCTGCCCAGTAAATTCAGATGCCAACGTTACTGGACAATTAACTCAAGAAAATAAAGACCAAAGGAGTGCTATTCTTGTGAAACAGCTAAATTCTCGAGTTTTTCCTTGTTCATTAATTGGCATTTTCAGTACAGAATTGGATGGCTAAATATTAAATTAACCTTGTTTCTAATTTTTTGGTAAAATATTTCTATCACATGCTATACAATTATTATATTTTTGGTATAGTGCGACATTTCACAGCATAAGGAATCAAATGCTAGATCATTTGCTTTGTATTACAGTCAACATATTTAAAACTTCATTATAGAAAGGTTCAGATTATTTTCTTTTGGGGTTTTAAAATGGAAATATGCTTATTAATAAGTAGTTCACACATCTCAGTACTTTTGAAGCAAGAATCTAATGTATTTTTATTATAAATCATCCTCTGCTAAAAGTTATTTTTGTTTGGTGATATATTTCTATCTCCCTGTGAAACTAGCTATTTAATAGTCATTAGGTTTGTTTTTGTTTGTTTTCAATTTAATTCCAAATGGCTAACTTCAGGCATTGTAACTTCTCTGTTCTTCTCAGTCTGCTGAATTATTCAATCTCAATTAAATTCTCCCAAATTGTTAGAGTGACATTGATTCACATGTGAACTTGAGAGTTAAATGTTTTTCTTTCCTTTTATCAAAGGGACATTTGTGGATACATGAGATGCCCCAAGTGAAGTACTTAGTGAATCTTCAAAAATTCATACTCATTCTGTAAGGTTTAATGATCCTTAATTTATCATTTCACTCCATGACTTTTGAAAATTCACTGAAAAATTAATCTACAATGTAATTCTTCAGCTAACTAATTGAATCTCTATCTCTCTCTGGGGTAAGTCTTGTCTTTCCTAAAATTGTATTTAGGCTTAAAATGTACAAAGGATTTATTTGAGAATACGCAATAGAATTGGTAGTGTATGAGTAGCACTTTTATATGATGTCAAAGTGAGGGCAAGTGATGCATTACTTGGCCAAGAATTGTGTCCTGGTTTCTGAATATCTGTTTGAATTTGAATTCCTGAAAGAATTTATGTTAAAAAGTAAAAACAAAAAAGGTTTCCATTTTAAAGATAAACCTCTTAATTAACCAATAACCCCTCTAATTTGATTATGTTTCTTTTCTGATATTTTATTTTACTCACATAAACCACAAGATACTAACTTAGCTACATGTCTTCAGGTATGACCTTAATAATCGTGTGATATTTACCCTGACATTTACACATTACAATGATTTTTTTCTCAAAATTTGGAATATCTATAAAATATCAGGCTCTGTTTAAATATCAGTAGCTTCCTTTTATTCCTGTGAAGCTCATTCCATTGAAAAAATTGAAATAACAAAGTGAACATAATACATGGCAATTTTAGACAGTAGGAGATGGCCCAAGTAAAATTAAATGGGCAATATGACAGAGAAAAATGGCTGACATAAGTTGCCTAGAGTGCTAGGAAGGTTCTGTGAGAGGAAACATTATCTATTAAGACCTCAATGTTTAAAGAAAATCTTGATGCAGTCTTTTAGGTAGAGGGAACAGCTACCACAATATTCTTGAATACAGAAAATTAGGCATGGTTATGGACGTGTGTGTGTGTGTGTGTGTGTCTATTTGTATCTGTGCACACACATCAGTGTCTGAGTACCCACATCTGGGAATTAGGATGGAGAAGACAGATTTCAATCACTATATCTCTTGTGTTCTACTGAAAGCCTAAAACATATTGATTAGAGCAGGGGACTAATCATATCATTAAATTATTTTTAATAATTTTCTGTTACTGAAAAAGAAAATTTGGAGATCAAGGAGAACATTAGAGGAAAATTGTGGTTATTTTGGTGATAAATGCTTAAATATATTGAAGACAAAATTCAAATGAAAATATGAAGAGCACAGACTTTAAGGGAAAGAGTATAGAAGAAGGCAACAGGGACTGCAAAGAAAGTTGGAATTAAGAAAATAGCTTTCTAGGTCTCTTAAGAAAAGAAGCACCTCTTTATTCTAAGTAAATAGCAGAGATTGTGAGTGCAGAGGTAACACACTCCATGGTTAATTGTTAGTGACAGGTATGTTTCCTGGCATTTGGAAATAGCTTCTCTTCCTCAAACCATGCATCTTTTCCAAGTGAAAAGCTGTCTTAACAAGTGACCTGGCAAACTGCTTCTTCTTCAGGGGATGTATATTTATTACAAAAAAAGTTTTTAACTTTCCAGAAAGTTATGTAAGTTTGTAGTCAGTTATGTGAAGGGCTGCTTCAGACACATCAGAGGAATTTGCCTTCAAAGGTTATTTTAGAAGCACATTGCTGATTCTATCTTAGTAACCTGGGACTTACTCCGCCCAAATTTTCAGCCAATGTGTCCCGTGGTTAATGTTTACGCAACTACCTAAGAATTCACATACAGTGAGTCAGACTTGAATGTAAACAGTGAAATTTTAAAGTATTTATTTGGATTTATATTCCCAAGAAAAAAAGAGAAAGAAAGTAGGAAGAGCAAATGCTTTTTCCCCCCACAAATATCTTCCACCAAGGCCACGACCCTCCCAATTCAACTGAGACACCTTCTGGCTGGTGGTATGCGTGAGTAGTGACATACATAGGGTCCTCTTCCTTACTCCAGGCGTCCCTGTCCAGTTTTCCGAAGCACAGTTTTTATAGTATGCCAGGGTCAGTCACGTTTGACAAGATGCATGATGTCTGACGATCCCTGGATCTATAGCACCTGGTAGAAAAAGCACTAAGCTCTGTGCCTGATCTAAAACCACTTTGAACTTTGAAAATATCCAGTTTACACCAAAAATTTTTGTCGCCTTTGTGACCTTAAGATAGGTCCCAATCAGTAAATATTATGTCAATATATTTACATTTTCAATCTCTAGAATATCCACTGTGCAAGGGACGATTCGTAAGTAGTTTCAGGCAGGAGAAATGGTTTTTCTTTCTTTCTTTTCTTTTCTCTCTCTCTCTCTCTCTCTCTCTCTCTCTCTCTCTCTCTCTCTCTCTGTGTGTGTGTGTGTGTGTGTGTGTGTGTGTGTGTGTGTGTGTGTGTGTTAGGATTAGAACTGACGACCTCGCATTTGCCAGGCAGGTGCTTACACCACTTAGCTAAATCCTCAGTCCCAGCTTTTCTTTTTTTAAAGAGTGTTTCAAAGCCAGTAGTTGGAGACCATATCAAATAAAGAAAGCGAGACTGAGACATTATTCGTGGAAAGACCTTGTATTCCCAATTTGCCTGGTGTAGTCCTGATATCTGCCATCAGTTCTGATGTAATTACCAGATCTGATTTTCTGCTCAAAAGAACTCATTTGATAGGGTAAGATACATGCTCCAGGTAGCTGGTCCAGTAACATATAGGTCACAGATGGCCAAAACGTTTTCAGCTTAAGTCTAGCTTTGAATTATAACACATGTTGTCAGGCCATGGGGGACAGGGAACCCTTCTCCACGGTTGGTGGGAGTGTACACTGGTGCAACGACTGTGGAGATCAGTATGGAGATTTCTCAAACAACTGGGATTAGCAGTCCCATTTCATCTAGTTAATTAAATTAAAACCATCATATCCCAGTGATGCACACCCACTCATGTTTATTACGATACAGTTTGTAATAGTGAAATCATGCAAATCAGTTGCCCATCAGCCAATGAATAAATTAATCAGACACACATGTGCAAATATCGCATTATCTCTCTGGTGTGAGAAATTGAAAATGTAAGTAAGAACATGCATGTACAATAGATATTATGAAATAGGAAGAAACTTTTCAGAAAGGAAATAGGGAATGGGAGGGAAAAGGAAGAAACAGAAAGAAAAAATGAGAAAAGAAGATAAAATGAAAACTGAATTTTGTGAAAGTGGAAAGAAAAGCATTTGAACAGAGAGGTTGGGAGTGGAAACAAATCTGTAAAAACAAACAAACAAGTTATATACAATCTTTTACAATATAATAAATATGCACCAAAAACTCAATAATTAAACCTTTCTAGCCATGAATTTTATAAACTACAAGATAGAGGTTAAAATATATTATTTTTATATCTATCTTTTAGATCTTGATTATTTCCAAGTATTAGACAGCCATATCAGCAAAACATAAATCAAATTGTCCAACTGTTTGATTATGAAGAGCTCTTTCCTATGGGAATATATTTCTGATAGTTAATTTTTAGGTGAATATCACTTGTATATATTTACAATTAACTTTAAACTGAATCTTAACTTTATAATACCTAAGGTATAACTATGTGTTCCAGCTCTGATTTAATGAGGGAAGAATACAAAAAATTGTTCAACAAAATTTTATCCAATATCTATTGAAGACAATACTAAGATATTACTTTTTTCTATTTCATATTTAAATTACAGGTAAGTTTTATTTGTCGCTTCTGTCCAGTAAATTTTGTGGTAAGTATTGTTTTGTTTTGTTTTTTGAGAGGTAATAGTTACCTTTTTTGTTGCCTATGTATTTTAGGAACATGAGAGAAAATTTGTCATCTTATGTACTAAAATATGACTTCTGAATGTAACAATTCTAAAATATAAAAAGAATAAACACATTTTTTATATGTATGGAAGTCACCAAAACGTTTACAAAAATAAATTATTTGAAGTTAGTATCAGATCGCTTTAATACATAACTAAGGTGTGACTTTGATATAATGCAATTAGCTCCCTGAATGTCGGTTTATCCTAATTATTTTGGTCCAGTATGACAGGTATCAGAATCTCTTGTCTTCTGGCCCTTATAATACTTTGACACATTAAGTCTTAAAACATAAAAAATGCTACAATTTTTCTGAAAATGTATTTCTTTCTGAAGCACTGAAATGGAGGTCAAAATCTTTTTCATTAAGAGAAAGATATTAAGGAGATGAAAACAAGGAAATACTGATGTAAATCTGCTGAACATTTTTGCATGAACAGCTTAACAACTTCAAGGAAAATGTTTTTCTGGTATTTTAATAAAATGTTTCTGTCTTTGATTAGTTATTAGTCTGCAATATAAAAGATAAGAAAAAAAGCATGGAAAATGCACCGAAAGAATAAATACAGCTTAAAATTGAAAAATATTTTCCATAGAAAATATACTTCAATATATATTAATAAAATGGTTGACATTAATATAAAAATTTTAAAACTCAGTTTAATAATTTATTAAGAATTTATGTCAATGTCATGCATATTAATAAGAGAAACCATTAAGCAGAACTATTTCCAAAAGTTTATCAGGCTCTATTATCATTATTATTTTTAAAATGTTCATTATGTTTTAGTGAAAACTGCACTATAGAAATAAGGTTCATGTCTCAAAATGGGTACAATTAGTTTAATCTCTTCATTGGTCACACGTCCACAACTGAGTCAGTCATTTTTCTATGTCTCTGTGTCTCTGACTGATTTTGGATAATCATTCCCAATAGCAAGAAAGTATGGAAGAGATCTGATTTTCAGAAGAGGAGAAAAGCATGGAGGGGTCCCTTACTTCAAATGAGGTTAAGGAGATACATAAAGTGCGGCAAACAGTGAAAATTTTGTAGAAAATCACCAACTCAATGTGGCTGTATCAGTATGAGCAATGAATCTATGAAGGGACAATGCAACATTACACGTCCATGAAACTTGTTGAAAGGAGGCTTCAGCAAGTGTCATTGGACAGGCTCCTTGTTAAAAAGTTAGATTGAAAGAAAATATTTCATAGGCTCAGTAGAAGTAATGATTTTATTAGTGATGGGAAAGTTTTTTGCACAATAACCTTCCTCTCACACAAGCTACAAAGGATTTCAAAGATAAATACTAGTTGTTTAATTTTCTTTATATTTGTGTTATCTTTAT